GCCAGTAGTTGCCATGCTTGGCAAGCGGGTTTGCAACCACATTTAGGCTTTTGGGGATGTTTTAATAGGGACGCTGCTGCTCACCCCTCGCCCTCCCTTAGTCGTCTCTTATGACACTCACGGGAAAGGTAGGGGTGGCCAATTCTATACCGAGGCATACCAGGGAAAAGATAAGCTGCTCTTAAAAAATATTTCTGCAAAACAACATCACCATGTAGCAGCCTACTCTATGCCCAAATATTACAGTATCGATTACCAACACCGCTATTAGTTTGCTGTCCACAAAACTTGTTTCCAATCAATCATATATAATCCAATATTTGTCCAACGTATTCGGGAGCAGTCCTTTCCGTAATCGAAGCCTGATTAATGACGGGTAGCGTAGTAGGCGACTCGTTTGTGCATTGTGTCGCTTTATCCTTATATAATTAATTAATTTGCGTAGTCTGGCGACAATCTTGTTTTGGATTAATAAACGTGTACCGAATTTATTATACTCATGCTAAAATTATAACTTTTTTTTTTAAGTTCATTTCGCTTAATGACAGTTTAAAAATACTATGTATCACTAATTAGGTATGAGTCTTTAAAAAAAGAAAGGAAAAACAATAAACAATTTCAGAAAAAAATAATTCTTCTGAAGTTGTTTACTGTACTGATTGGCTAATGTGCTAACATTTTACTGAACTGGGTGTTATCTTACGGAATTCCATATCATTGGTTATTGGACTACAATTATTTTGTTTAATTCCGCTAACATTAGTATGTGTGTGACTGCCAACATTGGAAAAACACAACATGTGTCGTGAAATGTATGTGAATAAAATGGCGATAGCATTTATCTTAATAACTAAAACGGAAGGTTGTGGAATATTTGGTAGTAATAGTGGTAGTCCATTTTGGAGTGTTAGCGGTCACACATATACTAATGATAGCGGAATTAAACAAAATCATCACTGCTGAACATAAGTCTCCCTCTTGGGGGATTTTGCCCATATTTACCCCGCTTGATAGGCGGATTGGCAACCGCAGTTGGGCTTTGGAGATATTTTAAGAGGGATGCAGCTGCTCATCCCTCCTCTTCCTTTAGTCGCCTCTTACAACATCCACAGGAAAGGATGGGGTGGCCTATTCTATGGCGATCTATGGGATCACAAGGCGAACATCATTGGTTATTAGACTACAATTATTTTGTATACTATTATTTACTATGGTATATACTGCTATAATAATATTGGAAACACAAAACGTGCCGCAAAACGTACGTGAACAAAATGGCAGTCGGAGATTGATGGCTAATAGGTGTGCAATCTTGGAGTGTTAGCTGTCGCACATATTAATGGTAGCGGAATTAAACAAAATAATTATAGTGTAATAACCAATGAGCTAACATGTTGATCAGTACTCTTACAGTAGAAGTTCATGTCCGATATGGTTACTTGAACGTTACTAAGTTCTAACGATGGGTGTCAACGACCTGACCTTTATTCTAAGACACTCGAAAATAGTTAAAGAATGTCTTGAGTTATTAAACGAAGCCACGGGCTAAAAGCTAGTATTTATATATTATGCACTGAAGTTCAAATAAATATCTCTGTCTTTATCCATTACTCCTGTGATCTCATTTATAGTGTTCTCTTTTGATTCTTACAATATTTATATCTATTTAGGATGTCTGTTTTTTTCTTTAAGTTTAAATTTAGGTAACATAGATACATATTTTATTACACTGAAGAATCTTTTTTCAACTTAGAATTTATTTCCTTATTGGTAGGGAAATTACATAATTTGCATAGAATTTGCTTAAAAAAACTAAAGTTTCCTAACTGTGAAAAAAAGTCAAAACTTTACCAAGAATAATACAATAATTAATGCTAGAATTTGAAGATATATCTTCTTTTTATACGAGTGGTAGCTACGCTTATCATCTTCTACATAAAACAAAACAAACACATTACAAGGCTGTTATTGTACTGCGGCGAATCGGAATTTTCTCCTATCTTAACCGGCGTAATTCTACAAAGTGTATGTGCACAAATGCCACAAATGTATCAGCATCTTGTAATTACCACGCTAATGAGACGTGGTTGCCACGAATGTACATTGTTTGTTGTTATAAATAACACAAATACCCACCTTAAGTGCTTCGTCTTCTAAAAACGTATTCACGCCCTCCTCAATGTATACAAAAAGTCATTCCAAACAAATATTTTGCTTCGTAATAAATTCCAGTATTATAACAGTTTAATTCCAAATAACAATGACTGGTAAAAGATAACAATGGAGTCTATACAATAGGGTTTAGCTACAACCCTTTTAATACTGTCTAATCCGGGAGGAAAGTGAATTTAGGTCGTAACATCAGCATTTCAAACGGAGAAAGCCCTGTACTCGAAGAAGATTTAGCCCAATGGTGCATCACTAAGGGCTTTTTTGTTCCACTATCCATTAGGTAATGTTGACAGGCTGCCCATTAGGGCTGCTATTTGTCTTGTTCACTTGTGGTTTGGAGGGTCGGTGATGAATGATTTGTATTGGAGGAGAGGAGGGGTTAGTTTTTTGATAATATTTTGTAATGTGGTGGTTTCTTGGTAGATTGGTTATTGGAGACATTGATGTAGATTGAAATCGCGAATATGGCAGAAGGTTTAATCATTAACTAGCTATTTCCCGCGACCTTGCCTGTGCTGACATTATTATTATTATTGAGAGACGGGTTTTTTCAGATAAAAAAAAACTTGTGAAACTGCGATTGCCTTTGTGCTCGTCCTTTTTAAAATTCGCTGCTAATTTCTATTAGTGATAGGAATTTTAAAATGTTTTTTCGAGAGATCTTTTTATCTCTTCAAGATATATGGTAAAGTGTATTTTCCTAAGAATATATGTCGTTTGTGTATAAGTGGGATATAGCCACACATTAAGTGCTACGGCGATTTTTTCTCAATCTGACAAAATCTGTCAACAGTTTTTGGGCATAAGTCTAGTTGAGCCACGTGCTTGTTTAGTTTGCAGTATTCAGTAAAAGCCTTTGTTAATACACATATTAATTTTGCTCAAAAGAATTAATTTCTTAGAGTAATTTTCTGAAAACCTCTTATTATTATCAAGGCTTTCGAGTGATTTAATCCTGGCAACAAGAGCTAGATATTATTTGCTGTTTTTAAGCTTTCAAGTTTGAAATGTCTGAGATTTAGGCTTCGAGATATGCCACAATAAGGTCCTGATCTTATTAAAGTATTCTTTGCTGTTCTCTTGCTAATCAGTCAGCTGTTTCATTCACTTGTGATGGTATTGTAATGTTGAATAGCCTATCAACCATCCTCTTAAGTTCCCTTTCCTTTCCCGTGGGCGTTGTAAGAGGCGAATGAGGGAACTTAACGGTCGAGGGATAGGCAGCAGCGTCCCTCTTAAATTATCACCAAAGCCTAACTATGTTTACTAACCCGCTTGCCAAAAGCGTGATAACTGCTGACAAAACCCCCAAGGAGGAAGCCTATGTACAGCAGTGCATACAGACAGTTAACGGCTGTATCATCATCAAGGTTAAGTTACTGTGTAAAAATTGAAATTTAAAGAAAAGTTATATTATTTCAGTAACTTTTCAATATATAGTAGATGATTAAACTGATGATTACAGCGTAAGTGATCCCTTCCGGCGTCCTGCATCCGGGGTACTGATTATATCGTATTAAATCGATCATTTATTCATTTTGCGATCACCGCTAGTTAGTACCCTGTATCAGATTTAACCGAACGTTGCAATGTACTGTGTTTATTATGTTTGTGGTTTAATGTAATTATTAATTTACAAATTTCCGACTTAATTGCAATTTGTTTGAGGTTAATCCTTAGTAATATTATAAATGTGAAAGTTATTTTGTGTTTTTCGTTTATGTGCCTTAACGGTGCCTTAAAGTGCCTTAACGGCTTAACAAATTACAATGAAATTTGATATATACGTAATATATGGGGTGAAGAAGGATATAGGGTATTTTTTATTATGGTCAGTAAACATATTACAGTCACGCAGACGAATCTGCAAGTAAATGCTAATATAGAATAAATCGAAATATAGAAAATTTTATATAAATAAAAATCAATATAAATAAAAATGAATTTATAACAACTACATCTATTTGGCTGATATTCTTTATGTTGCGTTTGTAATTGTCAGGATAAAGCTTGCATGAGAAACAAAGTTTTCGAAAAATTGTACGGAAAAGTAAAAAATTCTTCATTACTGTACCCGTGTGAAGCCGGGGCGAGCAGCTAGTAGCCCATTCAAATAAATAAATATACTCATAACTTTAATCCCTTATTGTTCATATATTTACCAATTTTACTTGTAATAACGTTAAATCAGTATATTACATCGCATTTAATCCATAAATATCGTTATGAACAAATAATTACCAGAGGGAAAGTTTGTACAAAAGTCCATTGCTTGGGTACCTCTGTTCCATTCGTGTTTCAACCGTGAAGCAGTTGTGTTTGAATGGCCGTGTTTCGGTTTGAAGGGTAGGATATGGCGTGAATTTACTGGGTACAGAGGAATAACACCTGAGTCCTCAGGAATGGCAACGCATGGGGGGGTATCATGGGCAAAACAGTATACTCTGTTATGTCCACGGTACTGCTCATGTCTATAGGCGACGGTTACCACTTTCCATCAGGTAGGCCGTCAGCTTGTTTGCCATTCTATTTCAATATTTTGTAATCCATAAGCATCGAAAAATTAGAGATGTAATGTCACGCTTGTCTTCTTTTTCTCCGAATTCCTATTGTCATTCTTCGTACAGCAACTCATTTTAAAGCAATTTTCAGGATAATTATCTTAAACTTGATATTTCTCGTAATGTTACCGAAGTATGATTATATTAGATTTAATAACTGTTTGTTTATAAACATAAATCTTATCACATTCATTAATTTAAAGAGTTAATAACTTTATTTGGTCATATTAATAGACTTTTAAACAATATTATGTTTATTTCAGGTACCAATACTGAAGACTTAAAAGGACATAAATACGAAACTGTGACAAGAATTAGAAATAGAAAAAGGTCGATCGTCGTTGCGAGGGTTTTTGATCCAAACTATCGTTTATACACAATCCGCGGCGCGTCAGCTACTCATGAATATGACATCAGTGTCCGCCTGACCCCGCAATGTTGATTTATGCCCCGACGGCGATCCATCACCCGCCCCGGATAGCTGCGCCGACAAACAAACCACTTTTGCTTGATGGGACAACGGCAAACCTTTTGTGTACCCAATTCGAATTGCCCGGGAATTGAGTATGCATGAATCTCCAATTTCGGCAAAGTGATACGTTTTTGTGAATGTGTGTAGTGTAGTGTGGAATCATGAGGCGACGACCATTGCCGCCCGTTAGGGAGGAAGTGAATACTAAATCTTGGCGTAGTGTGTGTGAGAGCGAATGGGCGATATATGTGCTGGTGTCGTCAGTGGGTGCGTTGACGTACGCTAATAGTTTAGACGGTGAATTTGTGCACGACGATATCCCAGCGATTGTGTCGAACAGTGATGTGAACGGTGCGAACCCTGTTGCCAGGGTGTTTAAGAATGACTTCTGGGGAACCCCAATGTCGGATCTGAACAGTCATAAATCCTACCGGCCGCTGACAACGTTGTCGTTCAGGTGAGTTATTTTCATGATTGTTTTTTATTCATGTTTATATACTGTAGCTTTAAAGAGCATAATAGAAAGAAAAATAAAGGACAAAAGAGGAAGAAGAAGACCGAGGAATAACTACATGGGATAGATAAAAGAAACATTAGGTGTCATGTCGTATGGAGAGGTCGAGGATATGGCCTGGGATAGAGCTGGCTGGAGGAAGATGCATGAATTAGTTGCACCGTCAAGAGGAAACTCTTTAATAAAAAATAAGCTTTAATATCCAATTTCACTGTCAACACTGAGAGATTGTATATGAAAAGAACTGTTAAGAACTTTCCTGTAAGTACTTAAAAAATACACGTTATTAGAAAAAGCTAAAAATATAATTATAATAAAATTATATGTCGTCATCTATTTTGGTATTAGGATGGAGATTGTATTAATTAGAAGCTTACAAAATTTCGCTGTGTGATCGCGGCATAGAATAGGCTACACCTTCCATTCCAGTGAGTGTCGTAAGAGGTATCAAAGGGAACTTAATAGTCAAGGGATGGACAGCAGAGTCCCTCTTAAAACATTACTAAAAGCCTAACTGCGGTTGCCAACCCGCCTACCAAGCGTGGCTACTACTGGCAAAGCTTATCTTTTTTTTATACAACTTAGAATGGCAAACAAGCTGACGGCCCACCTGATGGAAAGTGGTAACTGTCGCCTATAGACATGAGCAGTACCATGGACATAACAGAGTATACTGTTTCGCCCATGATATCCCCCATGAGTCGCCTTTCCTGAGGACTCAGGTGTTATTCCTCTGTACCCAGTAAATTCACGCCATATTCCACCCTTCAAACCAAAACAGTCATGCAAACACAACTGCTTCACGATTGAAACACGAATGGCACAGAGGTACGCAAGCAATCGACTTTTGTACAAAGTCTCCCTCTGGTATCCTAAATAGATATAAATATTATATCTTATAGGGAAGACTTATGTTCAGCAGTGGACTGTTTATTTTCCTTTTTTTTTTAAATTTTTTAACGAATAAGACGTACTATTTAAATGATCTGGAATATTTTTCTCTAGTAAATATTACTAGACTTTGTACAAAAGTCGATTGCTCGGGTACCTCTGTCCCATTCGTGCTTCTACCGTGAAGCAGTTGTGTTTGCATGGCTGTATTTCGGTTTGAAGGGTGGGATATGGCGAGAATTTACAGGGTACAGAGGAATAACACCTGAGTCTTTAGGAATGGCAACGCATGGGCGGTATCGTGGGCGAAACAGTATACTCTGTTATGTCCGTGGTACTGCTCATGTCTATAGGCGACGGTTACTACTTTCCATAAGGTGGGCCGTCAGCTTGTTTGCTATTATAAGTAATCCAGTAATATTCATGTCTGATAATATCACATGATTACAAAATAATTCAAATAACCTTGTAAAGGAGTCTGAATGTTATTTTGTCTGTACTCAGACTAGACTCAGACAACATCCAAGTAACGTAATAAGAGAAACCTTCTTTTAACAGAACTAATGAAGCTTATCTTATTATAAAAGAAAATTTCACGACGAAATTTTGGTACGCGAAAATATTTTCCCGTAACGAGGAAAAAGTCTTTGATACTCCCAAGTTAAATTTTCATGCAGACATTTTGATATACGCATTATTATTTTAATATTAATTATAATAAATTAAAATTTAATTTATTGTTATTATAATTCATGTGAAATTGTCATAAAGACATCATGGAGTAATCTATGAATATCCATAGAGATGGTGTAATCGATTAGTTGGATTTCACGTAAGAATATATATTGCAGGGAGTCAGTGGATGCAGGTGGCTCAGGACCGTTCCTTGTGGCAGTCTATGGGGGAGGTCTATACTCAGTAGTGGACAGAGAACAGCCGAGATGGTGATGATGATAAAATATCATCTCATTATAAATAAATATCATATATGTATAATGAATACATTATACATACAAACGAATACGAGTATTATTTTAATGTATTAGATTACAGTTTATTAATTTAGAAATAATTCTAAAGTTAAAAAAGATTTTTACTTCGTTGAGGCCTGTAGTCTTTAATTCTATTTATTATTTAACTCTTTATTGCACTAGAAACATAAAAATATACAATGACAATTGAGTTATATGATATATACAATTGTTTGAATTGTTTGCCATTCTAAGTTGTATAAAAAAAAAATATGTATATTTTTTTACACTACTGGTTGATATTACTAATGATCAGTGCAATAGCTAATGATTTCAACATTACAGCAATAGTAAAAGCTGGCGATATCCGAGAAACGATACGATGATAGATCGAGCCGGCCTTTAATGCGGGAACCCTGATATCCCCAGCGCGAAGAAGCGATGACTTTCAACTTTACACTCTTGTCGATAATATAACGGTAATGATGGTATTCCGGTGTTTTTATCGCATGTTTTGGAAATATTTACTTCTAGTTTTACTCGCGACTTCCAACGCGTGACCGGAAAATATTCTCTGACACTAGTTATTGAGGTCGCTGGCGGAAGGCCCAAAAAAAAAAACAATTTTATAAATATAACTCAATTTAATTCTAAAATTAATTATTACAATAATAAGTGTCTTCAGATCGATGTGTGATCCGTAAGTGAAGTTATATAAAATCAAACATAAAGGAAATGGGTATTTTTGCTGCGGGAATTGAAATGCTGTCTCGACGCAGGTGTCTTTCTCGGTAGCGCACCTTCTTGCGTCATGCTAGGTGGTCCGATCCGATCGCCGTTGAGGGTGTGTCGTAATACTTGATAGGTATCTACTATAACACATGGATAAACGTATTTTTTGTATTATTATTTCGACCGTTAACTGTCCACTGCTGAACACCAAGCCTTCCCCTTGGGGGGCTTTGCCAGTAGTTGCCGCGCTTGGCAGGCGGATTGGTAACCACAGTTATGCTTTTAGAGATGTTTTATTAAAGGACGCTGCTGCCCATCCCTTACCATCCCTTAGTCGCCTGTTACAACACCCACGAGAAAGGATGGGGTAGCCTATTCTATGATGGGACGACACGGCGAGTTTTAAAATATATACAAATTGAAAATTTATATAAAGAAAATATTCAGACAAATAATAAGAGATACATTTACGATAACAAATGTTTATATTGTGCGGGGTTTGAACCTACAACCATCGGAAGATAAAGCGGTGTGTCCAACCACTACGCTATCAAAATATTAAAATAACATGCAAATTTAAGTATCTATTTAAACTCTCTCTGCATAGTAAGAGGTTAGTGATTGATATAAACCGGCAAATGATGAATAAGGGCAGAGTTCCAAGGAACAACTTAATAATGGAGATTTTTATTTCGGTCGCGTTGTCGATAGCCGATTTACATAGGAGGGTCCGTGGCCCCCACAAATCACGCTACGACCTTGTATTCATATTGATAAACATTCTTTATTGATATGGTAATAGCGACTATGATAGTAAACTGGGTATTTGAGAACCTTTTATGATCCTTAAGGCCAATGTTAACTATGAGAAATATACTGTATTAACAGAAGGAGACTGTAGGAGGAGACTAAAGTAGTTTGTTTGAATACCTCCGTCCCATTCGTGTTTCTACCGTGAAGCAGTTGTGTTTGTATGGCTATGTTTGTGTATTACAATAGTACATTACTGTAGCGGCCAGCAACTGAGGCATTGATGGACGAACGTGCAAATGTGGGTCGAGGCGTAGCCGAGGCACACAGACGTAAGTCCATCAATGCCTAGCTGTGGCCAAGGCTTGTATAGTACTTTTCTCAAACAATGCGCGGAATTCAAAAACAATTTTACTTTTTAAGTTCAATGACGAATAACGAACAATAATAATTTTTCACGCGCCATAATGTTCCTTTTTTTTTTCAATAAACAGCATTCTATTTGTAAGCCAGTTCGAAATTTAAATAAAACCTTTTATTAGTTATCTACTTGGTAGCCATGTTTCGAAGTAAAAGGCCATTCCATTTTTAAATTACAGGACAGATATGAGTGTTTTGCGGCCAGATAAATTACTAATCTGGCCGCAAAACACGACAGATATAGATTTTCATACAACTTTTGCCGGCCGCTGCCCGCATGTATCTGGTCAGTACGGCAATTTTGATTTATCTCTAAGAAGATTGTCAAACGAATGCTCACATTTCCAAACATGTTTGAGAAAAATTTATATTAATATAGAACAAATTACTTTCAGTGATATTTCCTAATAAATACATCACTCCTCATGATGAAAGGTCTTCAAGAAAAGACAATTTACATTTTTTTAAAAGGCCGGCAACGCTATGAGAACACCCCTAGTATCGTTAGCGGCTATGGGCTGCGGTAATCACTTACTATCAGATGAACCACATACTCGTTTATTGCTCTCTCACAAAAAAAAACTTATGCCATAGTAACGAAAATACTGCTCGATTGTTAGGCGAACTTTATTTTAAATTTTTCGCTCTATTTTTTTTAATTTAATATGTTTTTTTTAAATGGACGATAATGGAATGGCAACCCTGCCTGCGCTATCGGTATACACTGGCAAGACAGCAGTGAGATATGATAGGTGAGAATGAAAGCAGATCAATTGGTCTATCGTGATAAATTTTACGAGAATTAACCACGATGGTGTTCAGAGGGAACCGCGTGGAGGTCGACCTGATAGGGTATATTGATAGCAATGGAGACTAATCTCCCATTACTAACAATTTCTACCCCCCCCCCCCCAGCAATGGACACTTAACGGCTGATAAGGTGATGATTTTTAAAAATTTACGTCGATAAATAAATACTCTTTATTGTTAACTAAAGATGTACTCTGACTTCGCACATTTAGACAGAACTTTCAAAAATAACATATACCCCATATTATTCGATGATATGGTAGCTTATTCTTGTGAAATAATTTTCGAAAATCGGTTGAGTAGTTTTAAATTTATTCAATACAAACAAACAGTCAAATCTTTCCATTTTATAATATTAAGTAGTATATT